CATCGACCAACCCCAGTCTTAATTCCCTTATACCCTCTGAGGAATTCTCTCTGCAATACACCACCATAGATCACGCCATTACAGCTATCATACAAGCAGGGGTTGGAGCCTGGCTCAGTAAGACCGACATTACTAACGCCTTCAAATTACTCCCTATCCACCCCACACTGTGGCACCTGCATGGCATCAAGTGGTCCGGGAACTACTATTTTTTCTCCCGGTTAACTTTTGGGTCCAAAAGTAGCCCAGCTATTTTCGACACATTTGCTGAAGCATTATGCTGGTTACTATTGAACATAGCCGGATGCCCTACGGTATTACATTACTTGGACGATTTCCTACTGGTCGAGGAGAATACTTCACCTCCCACTAGTCTCAAAGCTACCACTAAGCTGTTTGAGCAACTAGGTGTACCCATCTCCCCAAAGAAAACAGAAGGGCCAGACACGGTTATCACTTTTCTGGGTATCCAATTAGACTCTGCCACAATGCAAGCAAGCCTACCATACGATAAGATAGAGAATATTCTCACGTACATAAACAACTACCTACAGCTCGGCACTTGCAACCGCAAAGAGCTACAGTCCCTGCTAGGGTCACTAAATTTTACTATGCGCATCATATCTCAAGGCCGCTCCTTTATTTCACGACTATTGCATCTTTTCCCACTTTTTCTACATGACACGCACAGGTTGTCCTTAGATGCCCAAGCTACGGCAGATCTAAACATGTGGAAGAGATTTTTAACCACTTGGAATGGTAAAAGTATGTTCCTCCCTCAATTGACTGAATCATCTCCTACCATTTGGTCAGATGCGGCATCTACCACTGGTTTTGCATCAATTTTTGGGAATGAATGGCTTTGGGGCAGCTGGCCTTCAGCAGTTCAGGACTTGGAAGGTTTTTCCACTACCTCAGCTCTTTTTGAGATCTACCCCATAGTGGCGACTGCCGTAGCATGGGGTCATTTATGGGCTAATATGCCAGTGCGTTGTTACTCAGACAACCAGGCAACCTGTCACATCATCAACAAAGGTCGTTCCAAATCTCTTACGATCATGTGATTTCTGAGGAAACTCACTTGGTTGGCAGCTTGTCATAATTTCTTCCTATGTTGTTTCCATGTGCCAGGTGTATATAACACAGCTGCTGACAATTTGTCTCGCTTTGAATTTCAGGAGTTTCATCAAGCACTCCCGTCAGCAGCACCCACAGCCACCATCACTCCAACATTTCAACAACTCATACTGGACTAGACGTCATCATGCAGCATAGCAGGACATTGTCCCAATTGGTACTTTCAAACAATACAAACAAAACATACAGCAGGGCTTTCACACTATTCAAACGATTCCTTCTGGAACATAACATCATACAACCATTTGTTATGACATCTTTTCTGGGGTTTGCTTCCTTTTGCCACCTTAAACTCAAAATGTCATACAACACCATCAAACTCTATCTCACTGGCATTCAACACCACATGCTAATCTTACACCCAAATAACAACAGTTTCATGGCCTCTCACCAAATCAAGACCATACTCAGAGGTATTCAAAAATCAGAACCCACACATACGGCCCAGAGGCTACCCATAGATAACCATATCTTCAAAGCATTATCTAACCTACTTGACTTAAAACCGTTTGACACTAATACAAATTCTATCATCAAAACAGCAATATACATCGCTTTCTATGGATTTCTACGACCTAGAGAATTCACTACAACCTCCACAACCCAAACCACTCCATTCCTCCTCTATTCCCACTTAACAAAATATGGATCATTACATCCTGTCTTTACCTCACTCCAAAACCAGTCAGCACATACCTGTAAACATTCCGTACTATCCCACACACAACAGATGGTATCCCGTCAAGGTTCTTGATGCCTACATACAGCACCATCACTTACTGCCCTCGCAACCGTTATTACAACTACAAGGTGCAGTACTCACCACTACAACCTTCATGACCTACGTCAGGTCCTTGCTCACACAACCGGGCCTCAACGCAAACAAATACTCAGGACACTCCTTTCGTATAGGAGCCGCGTCCACAGCCTCCAGTGTCAACATCCCAACTCATGTTATCAAAACACTGGGGCGCTGGAAGTCATCCGCTTACTCACGGTACATACCGAACCCAGTACAAGAATTAAGGGATGCTTTCATAAACATGTCTGGTTGATAAAATGTATATGTATTGGTTGTCTGTTAATAAATTTGATTACTTAATTTTTGCCCTCTTCTTTCTCAGGCCTACCTCATCGTCGGTTTCGGCACACCACAACCGACTTGCTCCTTTTTATTATCCTACGCTTATTCATGGTATTTAACACTGTACTATCTTAAGCACCTAACACACATATATATATATATATATATATATATATATATATATATATATATATATATATATATATATATTCATTTTAAAATACAGTTAGAATGAAATTAGACATATATATATATATATATATATATATATATATGTATATATATATATATATTATTTATTATTTTTTATTTAATTTTTTAACATATTTACATATTTATTTTATATTATATATAAATATATATAATTTTATATATATATTTAATCAATGTCATTCTACATGTATTTTGATATTATATATCATGTGTATGTATGCATATATGTATATATATATATATATATATATATATATGTACTTAGATCATATATATAATAAATATATATATATATATATGATCTAAGTATATATTTTATTTTAAACTGTTTTTATTTTACATTTTTCAGGCAGCAGGGGGAGTGCCTTTCATTACAGGCACTTCCCCAGCTGGCATTGCTGTGGACGGCTATGCCGTCCATGTGATCGTAAGGTCCTCGCAAGGACCTCACGATCACATGGCCCAGGAGGGCCAGAATGGCATCAGGGGGACTCCCCGGGATGCCAGCTGAGTCTGCCCACCGCGATCGCCGGTGTGGGATCGCCAGCGACCGGGTAAGTGAATAGGATGGCGGGGACGTGCTATGCCACCCCCAGCTTTTAGAGCCAGGTCCCCAAGGACGGCATAGCACGCCCGCCGTCCTTAAGGGGTTAATTGGGGTTGTGACAGGTTTAGAAATTGTTGGCGCACTGAGTTTCAACAGCATTGCTGGGATTTGATCAGGTCCAGACTGGTTTTTCATTTTTAGATTATTAAGGTGTTTCTTAATGACAGTAATAGGTACAGGTCTAAAATTGAACTTCTCTATATTAGGTCTTTGCAAACCTAGTGGGGCTTGATCCATATTTGTAGTTTCGGGATGTGTGTTATGTATTACCTTGACAATCAGGGTGGTGGAGCATCTGACAAAATAGTCGTTAAAGGCATTTGCTACATCTAAGGGGAGTTGCAGGGTTTGCTTGTCCACTTTGACAGTGGAGGGTTGGGAGTGGATTGGGGGAGTTTGTAAGTTATTCATTATTTTCCAAAAGTTTCTAGGGTTTGACATGTTATTGTTCAGATTTTCACTGAAATATTGGGCCTTGGCCAATTTTGTTTGTTTTGTGCATATATTTCTCCATTGTCTATATGCAAAATAGAGCCAGTACGCTTGAACTTTGATCACAAATAATCCTGCAACTGGTATATTTGAATGAGTTCAGCTGTGATTCAATTCTTATGTGCCCTGTGGCGAAAGTGACCTCGCCAGTCTCTTACCCTGTGACTATGGCCCCTGCAATGGACCTGACTAAAATACTTTGAAAAGACTCTGTTCAAGTGAGTTGTACTCCAGGCAGAGAGACCGACCATTAGACCTGATTCCCTGTAACTGTTCTGGGTATAGGACCATGTGCATAGTTGGTCACAAATAAGACTTCCAGGAAATTCCTGAACCCCTGAATTTATCTGGGTGTTCTTTGGACATGTTGGTCACCCAGATCAGGGTTATCAGGGGATGTAACATTTGTGGGGTTCTATTTATTTTTAGGGTACTTTTGGGGTGTTTTTAAAAAGTGTGTTTTTTCTGTGCTTGGAGATAATTGGATTAGAATTAGTACAGCTACTGATCCAATTATCTACCAGGCAGAGGGGAGGGTTTGTGTGCTATGTGTGGAGTGCCTTACATTGTAAATGTGTTATTATTGGTTTGTAAGTTTGTAACCCTGTCCCCAACAAGGTCCATGTGGACGTACCCTTTGCATGGGGACTTGCATAAAAGTCCAGTGTGGCTACCATTAAACCAGTCTTACTTCACCCTCAACACAGAGTCTTGTATCTTGTTGTAGGGAACTGCTATACAGCTATTACTACTAGCTCTTGTAAGATCTCCACAGCTATACACTCTTGGAGGAAAGGTTCACCCACTGGAAGCTGGATCCTGGTCTTGGGTCCAGGGTGGGTGGAGGATGGCGAGACCCCCAACCAAGCTGGGGTGGTTCGTGGGGTCTATCGTGCTTATGGTGTATGGTGCGGTGGTTATGGCCCTCAGCATCAGCTAGGAAGCATTGATTGATGGAAGCACCTGGTTGGGGTGCCAGGCAGTCCGTCACTGCCCCTTTTACTCTCACCTTATGCAGTGGGGCATGCAAATTCCAAACTTGGAGTTTGGACTGAAAGAATTCAACTACACAGTCTAGATTTGGGATTAGGTTTAATCTGTGCCAAGGGAGGTTCTTGATGTCATTTGATGTCATTTAAAAAGTATTCAAGATTACATTTTTTGAAGGACCTGGTGATTTTAACCTTTGGAGAGAATGTAGTAGCCTTTATTTTGCACATGCAGTACACGAAGCAGTGGTCACTGAAACTGTTAGGGAGAACATGTACAGTTGTAATAAAAATGATTCAACCCCCATTGAAAATCAAATTTATTGTGAACATTTACAGACTTTTAGCTGTTTGCAGTGAACAAATCAAACAAAATCAATTGAAATAGCTCAATACAACAAATGCTTCAAGTGGTTTCCCTAAATACAACTGATAATGCAACTTATAATAACTTCTCCAGTCTCAAAATTATTCAACCCTTTCATGGCAAGCAGCTTTTAGTACGTAATAGAGCACCCTTTTCCTGCAAATGAGATGCATAGCCTGACACAAGCTTCTGGCAGCGTTCCTGAGGAATCAGCCGATTACTCATGAGCAACCTCCAGTTCAGTAATTTTTTTATCTACAACTGTGAGAATGAAAGCAACATTCAATCTATCACTGTTCTGTCTGTCTGTCCTCGTGTCACATGACTACATACTAGAATCAATTTGTCTCAACAAAAAGGTAATTGGGTAAAATTCGACAGAATTTTTTTTTTTTAAGGGATGGGTTTCCATGCCATATTTAGCTATAACAATTTTAAAGGGTGAGACTTGGCATCATAACAACTTTGCATAATTGAAAAGCTTTTGGCACAGAGACTACTACCCTGAACAAACTCTCAGCTCAGAAATTGACTTATAACTGCAGTTATTTGTAAAACAAAATCACTGTAGTTATAAGCCAGCCCACCAGACCTGTCACTCAAGCAGTTGGAACATTCAGTTCCGGGCTGCCTGTGTCAGTGTTGTCTATATTGTACACTGCATGCAGAAAGTGCACGCAATATTTTGTACTGAGCTCATGTTCATTCCCAGATAGAGATAAGAGCAGATCCTATAGAAAAAAAAAGAATGTAGATCATGATTCATAAGTCGCTTCCTGCTTAAAAAGGGTCTGTCCACTACTGTGTTGTGCAAGTGTCAATAGCAAGCATTAGGAATAAAAGGGTAATTTACTTATTTATTTATTGTTAACATAATTTTAATTAGTGTACAATCTATATAATGTATTTGGAAAAAAGGGAACCCGTTTTCACGTATGCATACCCTTTCGAATGGAACATTTGGTAAAGTCCCATTTTAAACAAACACATGGCTCTTTTTTAAGGCCTTAATAAAACATACACGTTCAGAATATGTTGTATCATTGCACATTTCACTTTCTTTCACTTCCACATGCTCGATAACAAATCCTGCATTTCTCACAGTGTCTTCTATAGACATTTTATCAGTTGTTAAAAAGTGAAATTTACTCTCACCTACGGTGTAATATTTTGCCTTAACTAATCCAAATAGCAGTAGATGCCCACCCAATTTTAGCATGCATGACACTTTTTTCAGGTTCCTGCAGTATTCGTCTAGATCTTTAGAAACTGCATGGAAAATGACCACACTGACCACGCAGTCTGCTTTTGGTAGAATTACTGGATCTGTAATGTTTTCCTTGGTGAAATCACATTTTAAAATGTGTGAGATATTTCTTCTTAAAGCATTTTCCATTTCATTGCTGTTGAAGCTGAAAAATATAACCAGTTGGCTAAAAGTTTAATACATACATACAATGGAGACAAATATAACACGTGATCTGTAGCATGTATTTAGAAGGAGCATTGATTTGCTCTGTTTTGTTTTTACTTATTTGGAAATAAGTCTTGCAAAATTGTTAAAAAAAACTATTAGAATTTTGCAAACGTTCAGTTCATCCATAAACATATTGATTAATTTGACAAAATTGATTTGGTCATATCAAAACCCCTCAATTCATTTTAAATGGATGAGCTTTTTCGTTAGTGTTGTATTTCGGAGTTGGAATTTTTAGATATTTTCAGACAAATCAATTAGTTTGAATATAAACTATTCAAAACATGTGTATGTATGTAAATATGTATGTGTCAATATTCTGCTCATATTGATGATGTGGATTACATAAGAATATGTATATATAACACTTAAACTGAAATATATATGTATATATACATATACATATTTATATATGTGAGTGTGTTTGTATAAAGGACAAGATACACAAATATGCAAATATTTACATGAGGAACAGACTAAATATATCTGGGGTAGTGCAGAGCTTTGTACTATATTGTTGATATATAGATGATATATTATTGGTTTGGAAGGGGGTTTATTATCATTTAATAATGTTATTGATTAAATTAAGCATCATGAATATTCTTTTTGCCTTTTAGTTCAGTGAGCTTTCATTTTTTTTAGGATGTCATGTTTTTGTCAGAGAAAAATAAGTGGATTCACAGTGCATTTTCATACTTACTATTACAATGGATATGTACTGAACTGCAAGAACTGTCTTAATAAAGACCAAATAGAGTTTGCAGGATTAATTCAAAGTCACATACATCATGGGCAAGTACAGAACAATAAAGAAGTAAAACTAATGACCAAGGATTTGTCAATGAAAATATAATGTCCCTTCCACCCAGTGGCCGAACTATCCAGTGAAGGCCATGGTACAAGAATGTTGTTTTGGGCTCCTGTCTAATGCAAGAATGGCCAAAACATAGACCAACATCTGTCGTACAACTCCATACCAGGTGGGGATCTACTATTTGCCCATCCCTTCAGGGTTGTATTTGTGAGCAGTGTTTGAATGTACGCATGCCTTTGTATAACGCATATACGTAGAGCTGTATTTGTTTGTACTGTTGCTAATGGAATGCAGTGGTGTACTTGTGTGAAGTGTTTGTGTTTGAATGCAGGGGTGTGTTTGCATGTTGTTTTGTCTTTTAAATGCAAGTGTGGCATTTGGGGTTTAAGTGAAGGTTTGTGTTTGTATATCATTTTGAAGTTTGAATGCAGAAGTGTGTTTGTACATAATATTTGTTTTAGATTGCAGGAGTGTGTTTCCATATTCTGTTTTATTGCCTGTATGTATGCATGTACACTGCCACATACATAGTTACACATATATGCATACACATTAACACACATATACACACATATAAACACACTGACACACACAAATTCATACATACTCTGATACATACACATATAGATGCACATACTGATACATTATACACTCTGACATAGAGATGCACACACCTTGACCTTTGCACCTATGCACACCCTGACACACAGATACACACCCACACATTCACACACTGACAAATGCATGCACCTTGACACACACCTACACTGACACATGCACAAACTTTGACACAAAAATACATACACACCCTTGCATTCAGATACAACAACACATACAAACACTGACAAATGCACACACATGAACACACTGGCATATATATACCTTGACACACAGATGCACACACACATAAACACACTGGCATACACACACATTGACACAGATACACACACATACACCTTGACCTTTGTATTTGCAGCCACCTATCTCTTAGCTTACCTTTACAACCAAGATGGGAGTTGCTTGTGGTCTTTGTGCTGCTGCCTGAGGTAAATGGGAATGTGGGGTTAAAACAACTGGGAGGAAGTGATGGGCTCTTTATCACTTCCTCCCAGCCTGGAGATACTGCAGGGTCCCAGTTACGCTCTTAAAGGGATGCAAGCATGACTGGGTATAAAGAAATAATACCCATTGGGTGGCCATAAGTGCATTGGCCACCCGATGGGCCCTCTGGCCATGCAGGCCCTGGTGCAGCTTATACATACAGCTCTATAAGTGTACAGTGAGTTTTATTGCTTGGGATCTCTGTGATACACGCATGCATACTGTGAGGAGGTGTAATCAAGGCTTGGTTTGGAATCAAGCACCTAGTGTCTTTGAAACCTAAAAACCTAGCAATGTCCCTGTGACAGACACTTCACAAACATGTTGGAGCTTTGATCTATGTTGGGCAGATCATAGACTCCTAACCTGAAAGAGGTGCACGATACATGAAGTAAAATAATGTTTGAGCTTTGCACTCCTATTGAAGAGACTGGTAGTAGGATTTCCAAAAAACAACCTCTTTATTTCATATTACGAACATTAAGCATAATAATTAGGCATTGTCATAGATATAGGAATATAAGACTTACCTTTGGTCCCGCGAACAGATCCCTCTGCTGGTTTCTGGTTCAAACTACAGGCTCCTGCAAAGATGTTAGTACACTGCCCACTCTAAGGGCACATCCTTAAATAAATTTGAAAAATATGACATGATGTCATTTAAGGGACCACGTCTTCTAGGCAACCCTATGCTGTTTGGAGTCATAATGATGATGTGGATCAGTGAGAACACATGTGAACCTATTTTGTTCAGGTCCATACTCATTGCCCTATCGTGGCTTCTGTTTAGTAATATGTTTAGTGTTTCTGCTACTCTCTTGTGATTTCCTGTTTTTGACCTTGGCTATGTTTTGACTTTGTTAACCTCTGGTATCCTAAACCGGCTTGTATACTGACCTGTGCATGTCTTATCCTGACCCGGCTTGTATACTGACCTGTGTATTTCTGGTATCCTGATCTGGCTTGTATACTGACCTGTGCATTTCTAGTATCCTTACCCAGCTTGTATATTGACTTGTGTATTTCTGGTATCATGATCTAGCTTGAATATTGACCTGTGTATTTATGGTATCCTGTCCTGGTTTATATATTGACCTGTGTATTTCTATTATCCTGACCCAGCTTGTTTATTTCTATTATCCTGACCTGGCTTATTTTTCATGTATCTGTATCTTTGTATACCTGACCTTGCTCATTCCTGACTTTAATTCTCAGTCTAAGGCTTGGTAATACGGCTTTTGGACCCTCACTTTGTGGGTATCCTTTTTCCTGTGTGTAAGGGTAACAACAACCGTGGCATACATTAGTATGTAAAAATAAATACATTAAATGAACACCATATACCAAAATGGCTTTTCAAAAGTATTACAAAGTTTAGACATCATTTGACTGATATTATTACCTTAAGTATAGAAGCGAAATGCACCCGGAATAGAATCTATTTATTGATGTTTTTGTAATAAACTTATAGCACCCTACATGGGGAAATGGTGGACTGATTTTTTCTACTATTATATTTCACTATTGATACATAAGGAATTAATGTCTGTATAGAGACACTCGTCTATTCTTTTCAGACATGTGAATGTCTATGTGACAGAGAAAATAAACAATAAATGAATAGTCAAAAAGAACAGAAATCTTTCCCTGATCTACTACATAATTAAATTTGTCTTTCAGTTTCTTATTGCTTCTCAAAATAACTTCTTAAAATATTTGTTTCAGAACTGTCTATAGACATTAGCTATAATTCTATTGTCATCAAAAATATGGCTATTAGCTTGATCCTTACCTTGTACCTTGCAATTCTGCCATAATCGATAAGGCATGAGTCCAGTCATAGCTTTCTGACTCCCTATGCTTCCATTTCACTAGTTCCTTCACACAGAGATCACTAGATTCTAAAATAATGATATCTTTGAAAAACTCAAACATGGGCAATAGATGGTGAATGTTACAGCCAATAGAAATATCAATCAAACAGTCTCCTGTAATTTGACCTGTGGAGAAAAAGACCCAAAACAAAAAAATGAAACAAACATAGACAAAAATATGTATCCAAAATGACTTTCCTCTGTTTATAATCTGATGTTCAGATGTTAAGAGCTGACATTTTTTTTGAATATCAAAATGGATTACTATTAAAAGTTTCACAATACTTTAGAACATATTTTATTGATCTTATCCACCTCAAAATAAGCCAATTGGTCTTTCTAATGGTTGATCATTTTTTGATGAATTGAGACTTCACTTCATGTTACAAAACTTTTTTTTTAATCCTAAAGACCCACTAATTTTAGAAGCTTTATAGCACTATACACTTGTTTCACACATAACATTGACTCAGGGTATGTTCCTTATCAAATGTTTTACTGTACGAATACTTCACATAATGTATGTAAATATAAGTATGAAAAAAGAAGAACGGTAAGCACTTAATAAATGGGCAAATACAAAAGCAAATGAGAGGCAGCCAACATTGAGTAATGGGGTTCCATCAAAAGCACCCAAAAACAAAAACAGAAATAAAAAACCAGGTGGCTCCAAATAAGCCAATATTACAAGTAAAAGCTATATACTAAAAATTAAACAAAGATGGTAAAATACAAGTGAAATAAAAACAAAAAAAATAAAATAGCTCAAATGGTGCACAAGAACATTCTTTTTCTTGTGCACCATTTGCTCTATTTTTATTGTTTTTATCTCACTTGTATTTGTATCATTTTTTTTATTTCTTAGTAAATAACTTATACTGCAAATATTGGCTAATTTGTTGCCCACTAGTTTTCTATTTCTGTCTAGGTAAATATATGTGGCTAGATACAGATTGTTTATTAGACAAGTTATTTTTTTTTCTTCTTCATAGATTGCACCTTGCCTTCCATGAAATTATTACTGCTTTGACTTTATCTCAAGTTCTTATTACATATTTGTCATTGTTTGCAAAAAATATTATGTTCTGTCTACAATGTACA